GTCACAACTAAACACTAATCCGCCAGCTTCAACCAAAGAATTACACTGCATTCTCCTTTACGTAGCTGAGTCCACTCATTAGTTATTGTATTAAAGGTGGGAGAAGAATGAAACTCGAGACGCAAATGTTACGTTGCTGTAAGAATAAAATAATCATCCATCAGTTTTAAGTTCTTTATGCAAAAAAGAGTCTAAAGGAATAGCATTATATTTTTTTCAGACACTTCAGATGGATTTAATGAGACCCTGGAGACGAACCTCTAGAAAGGAACTTCATGAACCACAAACGTAAACAAACATTGAGAAGTTACAAGTGGCCACGGTTCAGATCTTGATAAGATCGTGCCCTTGCCTATTCAGTGGAGGATCAAATTATCAGTCGCAAAAGAGGCAACTCAAGAACATAAACACGCTCATAGTCACTCGTATTTAACGTGGCCTTGTAATCCTGGGGTCTCGGGTTCGATTCCCGGCGGTGCCCGGATTTATAACTTGTGTTGGGCAAGGCCGTGGTCTAGGCAACACGGAGTTTTCCTCCGTGGCATCCCAACAATTACTCCATTCACACACAGAAGAAGGCAATGGCAAACCACTTCTGGATCATCTGCCAAGAACGTATATGAACAGGTCCCAGTCCGAGAAAAGAATGGAAGGATCATGTTCATATGGACCTGTCGTCAGACAGAACACTAAATAATAAAATAAATAAATAATAGCCGATTACGTGGTTGATTTCGACACGACAATGTTCTAAACGAAATTCCATGCAGCAGAACCCATCATCAGAAACGAGTGGTAACTCTCAGATAGTCAACAAATTCTCAACACGAAAGTTCATTACCGTGTTCACAAGAATCAGCCACCGGCCTATATCCTAATCCAGATTAATCCAGTCCACACCCTCAAAACATAATTTTCCCAAGATCCATTTTAATATTATTCTCCTATATACGCCTAGGTCTTCTGAGTGGCCGCTTACCTTCAGACTTCCTAACAAAAATTTTGCACACATTTTTTTTACAGCACATATTCGCCATACATCTCGTATGCCATCTTCCTTGTCTTTATCAGCCTAATAATATTTGGTTGCGAGTACAAATTTCGAAGCTCCTCATTCATAAACTATGGGTGTGAAATCTAGAGCAGCGTTTCTCAACCTATGGTACGCGAACTAAGTAATAAAATCAAAATATATTAGTAACACAAATAAGTTTTCCCTGAACGCATTTCTTCAGTGGTGCATTTAATAGTGTGTTAAATTAGAATTAGTGGTACGCCAACGAAAAAGGTTGAGTACCCCTGTTCTAGAGAATATCTGCACCAAAGATGGATGAAGTTCTATAGTTTGTACCTTCAACGTGTTCTTTCCAAAACGCCGAAGACCAGGTTTGACACAAAAAGGTAAAATTATATTGTTGGGGTATAGTTAAGTTGATATCAGTGTTTGCACGGAGAAGCAGAGCCATCTTCAGTGTTGATAGTACGTCTCTCCAGAACGTCCACAACGGAGAACCAACATCAACATCTCCAGCGCCATGATGACCTCGGTTCCAACTGTACGAACACAAGACTATACAGGGTGATTCTAAAAGGACTTTACAACTTTGAAAGTGTATAATTCGTAGTAGGAACGCGACAGACCCATATGATGTTCATCGCCCTAATATATGCACATTCTACGACCTGAAGAACACATTTTAGGATTTCAGACTAAAATGGTATGATATATAACCAGGATGTTGTCAAAATAGCGTGCTGCAGTATACATTACCTTGGCATGGTTAAGTACATTGCCTAATTTACATTAGATCTACTAGATATAAAATTTACAAGCTAGAATTTAATATCTAATTGGGCTTGTTTCTTAGGTTATTTTTCTTGTAACAACAAATTTTTATGAAAATATTTTACTTTCTGATAGTAGGAAATACCTATAAATTGTAGTCTACTAATCTCCAGCGTGCACAGGAAATCGTTTAGTTGAAAACGAAGCAGCACGGAGTGAATTACTTTGTCATTATTATTTAATTACTTGTGGTTTAATATAATTAATTTAGTTTATACAAAAGACGATGGGGCGTGGAAAAAACTGCATAATGACGAACTTAAAAATCTGTAATCCTCCCTCAATATTGTCAGGGTGATTAAGTCAAGAAGAATGAGATGGGCTGGGCATGTAGCGCGCATGGATGGGACAAGAGGTTGGGAAGCCTGAGGGGAAGAGACCTCTGGGGAGACCTAGACGTAGATGGGAGGATAATCTCAGGCGGGATCTATGGGAGATAGGAGTTGAAGGGGACTGGATTTTGTTGGCCCAGGACAGGGTCCGGTGGAGGGCTTTTGTTAATTCGGTGATGAACCTTCGGGTTCCATAAGCCATCTAGTTAGTTAGTTAGTTTATACAAAAGTGCTTGAAGCTTCAATTATCTGAAGCAGGTAAAACTGTAGAATTCGTCTCTTTCGTATAAATGGCTGGAAGGTCTAACAGCGCCATTGTTCTCGTACAGTTGACAACTAAATAGCGTTACACAATTGCACACGCTGGGTAGTACAGCCGGATTCGGCACTCGAAAGTAATTCCGAATTCAAAGTATTGATTGCACACATGTAACGTCCGGAGATAAATGGTCCTTAATGCACCCAACCCTCGCACTACAGCAACTTTTCGTGTAATTCTGAAACCAAAAACGGCGTCAAGACCAAAGTTGTTCGTCTCGAAGAGGAGAAACTGTTCTGGGCTCGATTTTCCGATTATATTGGATTTTAGGATAATAATAATTATTTTCTATAACATTCAATGATATATAAAAATAATAATCTGGCTTGTGGTTGAAGTGTCGGGTAACAAGGACATAAGGCACGTATTTGTCGAATTACCAACAACACCGTGGGAACTCTAGTTCACGAAAGTAGCCGCCATCAGCTTGCATGTTTTCAAGGTCACGGCAAAAGTGTACAGCGTTGCAACGCGAACAGCCCAGCTGTGATAAACAGCACAAAACTTGGAACGTAGCAAATACGGCAACGCTGTACTGTTGAACTAGAGCTGAAAGGATCGGAAAGGAATAGGTGTGTGTGTGTGTGTGAAGTCCCTCCCGTGGCCTTGAAGCATGGAATTTAGTGACAATTATTACAGAGATCCACATGATGGGCTTTTACATTATAGTAAAAAAACTCAGTCAAAATGGGCTCTTGAAGGTTAGGTAGGAGAAATGGAGCGAGGATTAGAACTGCAACGGGAATTGAAGTGACATGGCATCCTTACTTCTCGGGAAATAACTGAAAGCAAGATCGGATTTACACTCTACTAATCACGTTATGTTCCAAATTCCACCCCCTTGACGAAAAAAATATATACTTGTCTGTTTACGCAGTTATATCATTTTAGTATAAATTGATTACGTCACGAAATATCCCGGAAGCGATTTTCACTACTCATTTTCCTGACAGATGTTGCAGCAGTCTGAAATTCAATTTTGGATCGGTCACGGGAGACAGACAACGTAACTTGGCTGGAAGGACGAGCCTGTGACATGATAAAAAACAACACTTGCTCTGGATACAGAAACATGCACTCCCTTTCATAAAACTGATTATCTGTACTCACAGCCATGAAGAAACAGCCATATCCGTCTGCCGATTATCAATCAAAATAAAATATATCAAGTTGCACAGTCCACAATTACTAAAAACCGAAGAACACACAGCTTTATAAATAGCTTCCTTTGTTGGGGAGAATTCAACGAACTTCAGTCACAAGACTGGCTGCAGATGTCAACTGTTTTTTTTAAACACAAGATGGTTACACTCTATGCATTATTAACACTGACACAATAATAATAAAAACAACACAAGAAACTACTACACTACGGCTCTTTTTGTTTTCATATTTGTAACAGACGAACTTCCCCTTTCAACACTCACCGGCCATTAGCAACAAATTGAACATCACACAGCGCTGTACGACCGTCTGCTGTTTTGAGCGCCCTCTCAACTACCTACATGAAAGGCAGCATGACGAGAACAGACGTAAACAAGACTACGTGAGTCAGTTTAGCGTCTGTGTTCATGCGGAAAAAAGTTCCAGTTATCAAAGAAATTGTATGAATAAGAAACTAGTGATGAGACAGTGATTGATATATGTGTTTGTAATTTCTGAAAAGTAATCGAACCGCCATAAGCTTAGATTTTTTTTTTCAGTCAAAATGAAGTTTCATCACAACGTCAAAAGCAGGACCGGCAACTTAACTTTTTATAAGATCTTCACGGAACGTTCTAGTTGTACTCATCTTTGGTTAAATGAACCAGAAGCACCACACTTCGACACCCGGAAACATTTTAACCTTAAACCTCTTGTCAATCTTTATTAAAACTGATATAAAAGTTGCTATTGTATTAAATGGACACCTATTTAATTTGAAAACATACATTACTATTCAGGTACATATAACTAAAAATCAATATAGGCCTAATGAAACAAACTATATGTAATTTTAAACGCACACTTTTATTATAAACTATGACTAAGTCTTTATTTGTCATATCTACAGCTGAACTGTATTAGATAATTTGTGAATTGTTATTAAACTATTAAATAACGATACGTAATGTGTGAGGTCAAAGGTGTGGGTTTTGGTTCCTCGAACACAAGGGGTCCTGAGTTCGAACATACATTTTTAGCCCAAGGATTAGATACTGATGGCCGGTTTAAAAAACCTGAGCTTTACGGTGGAAAAATCAGTCTGTACTATCCACTGCATACGAGTCTGAATGCGCTCCATAAGTGATGTGCGAATAGTGGAAAAAAGACAAGTTCTTACCTCTGCCTCGATTTGAAGTTCTTCAGCCCATGGCCAGCTATAAAACTGAGCGGGAATTAATTTTTATAACTAAAATACCGCGAGTCATATTCTGAAATCCAAGATCTGAAAACTTAAACACAAATAATGAAGAGGGATTCGATCTGAGGACTTCTTATAACGAATTATAAAGAAATCAAATTTTGCACTGTTTTATGTTATTTTATTTCACTATTTTCATCACAGTACCTTACGTACTATAATTTGATGCATCACATTTTACAAAACAATAAAGAAAACTCACGATATGCAAATGTTTTCTCACAAGGGATTGTAGTCATTTAGAAAATGATATGCTATAAATATGCTTTTGTAAAACAGATGGAAAGTTCGTCTTTACTGTGACAACTTTCATTGTCTTCCTCACAATTCTGGGAGAACAAAGCGCCCAGAAAGCTCAAAGCTGTTCTACCACATTACAATCCTTAAATCACTTATTTCGTTTGAATATGTAATAAGAACTTATATATTAATGAGTATTTTCTCCAAAAAATTCTATATTTAAAATATATGGATAAACATTAAACATTATTATTAGTATTAAACTACTTTTATTGTAACGATTCTTATCAATATTTCATTTACCAGATCTTACCTTGAATCTTAATTGTCACGTGTGCTATGGATTAGCATTATATGTAATAGATTCGCTTCATAATCGGTGCAGTAGTTTTTGGCCGGCGGAATTTTCAAGGGGAAGGCTAGGAGCGAGTCTCGGACTGAACGCCCAAACAAAAGAAATACGCTGACCGTGCCACCTCAGGTACACAGACTAGGCCCGCCCGCCAGCTCCGCTAGCTTCTCCACCGAACAAAAACTACTGTGCCGACTATACCATATGAAGTCTTCAAAAAGCCATTACGTAATAATAAAATAGGGACATTTGTGTAAGTATGGTGGAAGAATTCCTTTTTAGGGAGTCAGCATTCAGAATACCATCTTTTCCAGTGTCTTAGATCAACAAAGCTGTTCCATGTTCAATCTTTTCGTTCTTTTCTCATCTCTGACGAAACCCATCAATCATACGAGCGAAACAAGCAAATTATGCTTGTATAAATGGAAGAAATGAACGATTATATCAGCAGATAACCTCAACAATGGGACTGAAGTGAAATTTGACTTGTCATCACGTAGCAGAACACATGTATTGTAACTAAAATTCAAGTTCTTTAAAGTTCTATCCAATTATTTTAAGTAAAAAGTATACATTGGTTTATTATTTTACATTTGAGTATTTCTCTCCTTCCTCCTATCGTGTCTCGTACCAACTTACGGGCCACTTCGTCGCGTGGAATACGCCTGATTATTAGTCAATAAACTTCTACGCGGAACAAAAGAAATGCGATGACAAAGAAAGGAAGTGACGTCACGTTGAAGACATCGCGATGTTAATTCATTTGTCAGACACTGGGCCACTTAAAAGTGGGCTCTGACATCGCATTAAGTAACACTGATATTGTATAATCCGTTCAGTTGTCTGCAAAATTGTATGACAATCACTAACTAGAAAACAATAAAAATTAATGTAATATTAACACAAAATGCTGTGATTTCTTGTGAGCCAATACATCAGTAATATTTACAAAATAAACATAATATGAAAACATCTTAAGTAAAATAAAGTAGAATATAATTCCTACATTGGTAATAAAAGGTTACGTAAAAACACGTGTTTATGTGAAAACTCAGAGATTATGAAATATTTGTTAATATAATTTCATATTTTGGACCCTTCATAAATAATAAGCATTAAATGTTTCCCAAACTCCTCAGCTCATTGTAAAATGAGATCAATATTAATGGCAGTAATTTTAATTATTAAAATTGTTTAATAAAAATGAGTATTAATTACAAACCGTTTCTCAATTAAATGCAGTGTGATGTTAATGGTATTAAAATGATTTTAAGATAGATTAAGAACCAACAGAATACTCTAAGTGACACTCAGGAAGGGAATTTAAATTAACATTGTTCTAATTGTACACGGCTTCCAAATTAATAGCCAAGCCACACTGGGTATTTTTCGATAATGATAATGCCTTGATACAGAATCTCCTGTACTCAGTCAAGAAGGTTGTAAATTGTAGACGAGTTGTTTCGGGCATGATTATGGTGGAGGCGATGATTAGCCGAATATTTAAACTACATAGTCATTACCAGTGCCTATTAAGGCGTATGGTACAGAAGATCTTTCGTATTGCAGTTTGATTTTTTTTTTACGAATGTGAAAAAGCAAAGAAACATTTTTGTTCCCACAATATAAATTTTATTTCTACCATATTGACTCTGACGAACACAAAACATTTCGGGTAATATAGTTTGTGTTACGTCAGACTTTAATATCAAAGTGTTTCGGTCTTAACGACTATATCGAAGAAAATTATGTTGAATTGCAAGTAATTCAGTTTAAATTCTAATTAAAATGCATTACACGTTTTGTAAATTAACGTCAGCTACCTGCAAGCTATATTTAGCTAATATGCATTTTATTAAAGGAGAACCTCTCTTTTGAATCCGTGTTTAATTTCAAGGGAATTTTACTTCAACGTTCAACAAGATATTTCGTTCGTAACTGGACAGACTCTGTGGCTACTGTTACAAAACCTTGCATTGCCAATATTTATTCATTTTAATTTTTTTTTTACAAAAAGAAACGGCATTTTGGTCTCGTCCACTTACGCGGTTTCTCTCGCCAATGGAAGAGAAACCATGGGGGAACAAATTGTACAGTTAAAGTCTTTACTTCAGACGAAGATGTAATCGGGGCCTTTTTTGCACGTGGGGCAAGACGCATCGTGGACGCTGCTACCCGCCTCCAGCCGGATCCACTTGCCGTGGCAGTGAGGGGCCGATAGAGCGGTCCAGCGAGTCGCTCGGTCCTCTACTCCGTGGCCGGCGCATCGGTACCCCAGATTCTTACGCAGAGCCTGCGTTTCGCACCTCACGCACACTCGTTCACCTTTGACAATAAAAACACAGCATCAAACACGTTCAACTGACCTCAAGGCTGGTTCAACAGCACCTCTTCCGGTCACGTGTCTGCAGTACAACTCCCTATTCTAGAATGTTTACAGAACGATACTGCCTAAAATAAAGTTTTTACACCAAATTTTATTTGGTATAAGCACTAGAGATGAAATATGTACATTAACATACAGACATGAGCTGTCATTTATTCGTTCATCAGTGTAAAGTGGGCATAATGCACGAAGGATACCTACAGTGGACGAAAAATAATTCCGCGCTTGAGCTGCGTCGCAGTAAAACGGGAAGGAAAAATTTAAAGGGCAAGAGAACGCATGGAGGCCAAAGATGCTGATAATTTAAATTTTACGAAACATATTTCTCACTTTTAATTTCCACACAGTAGGGGGCATTTTGATACACAAACATTTGCACTAAAATATGTATTTTTAACAGGACAAATATTTATACGTGAATACATATTTATGGCCATGTGTAAGTGTCACACCACTTTTCGTGAGGCGGCCTTTCGTGCTGTGGTGTCACGTGTGATTGTCAGTTTATGGTGTGCCGCGGGTAAAAATAAGTTGCTGAACACTGCGATAGTACAAGGAATGATTTGGTTATACGCGGTACAGGTCACAAACGCATTAACGAATTTATCTTCGCAATGGTGACGCAATAGGGACTTAGTTTCTTTGACATGCCCTTATTTCACATTCTAACCCTTTCCACATTATTCTTTTATTTTAAAAGCCCTGTTCTGTTACAAAATGTTCATGATAACTGAGGTGTAATTTCTATTGTTCAAATATCACATGAATATTTTTTTCTTTTCATGTCGACAGATGGCGTGCACTGTATAAATTCAAATAGGAATGGTATATTAACGTGACAAAGAGTGATATAAAAGTCACGCAACCCATTTCTGAAACATGTTATACAAAAGACGTAGATTACATCGAAATAAAAAAAAAACAGAAAGCAATGTTACGTCATGACGTGTTCGGCGTTGCAACCCGGTGAACAGATTCACAGTGACGTTTGAAATGCACAACTTAATACCGTGTTTCAATAATTCTAATGTTTTCGGTTGCTTTTTCTTTGTACACGTTCTCCATCAAATATAAATCCGATGATGATAAACACAGGAATCAACTGGCCCACCGATGGATTCGCTCAGTATTTGCTTCGTTTGATTTGATATATGCGTCGTAGCCCCGTCTTGCTGAAAACAGCAGTCTTGTTCGTCTACTTCCAGAAAGGAAATGAAATTCATAATCAGTTCCTGATAACATTCAGCTGTTGTCGTTTCACAGAAGAAAATGAGATCAGTTATCAACCGTGTAGAGCACGCCATATTCCGACTCACAAACATTAGAATGGTCTTTCGTGGATTTTCAAAACTCCGTATTCTGTTGTTTTGGCTATTAACGTATCCGTTCAGGTGAAACAATGCTTTTCCTTTAACAGAATCCTTGAATTCGTGCGTACGTACACGATATTGATCAAGTTTTAAAGTCTTTGTAGCGTTATGTCCAGTTACTCGAGATAAAATACTCTGAAGAGAAAATTCTCTCAGCGACTTTCGGGGAAAGCTCGACAAACTTCGACGAATATCGTCCAAACTATCGTCACTTATACCGAAGGGCGACCGGAACGGTTTCTGTGTCATGGAAACAATTTATCAGACGAGATATCGTCGATTTTTCCGGCACACCAGAATCGGTTAACGTATCCCTAAAATCATTGCTACAAGTTTACGTAAGAACGAGACGCCAATTAGTGTTCGACAACGAACACTCGCTGCACTTATGAAAAAGACATCCTCGCACTCCGATCGTTGGAAGACGACATGACGCGACCTGCGTAGGCTATTTTGTGTTATTAATCTCATCGAAATACATTTAACTGCATCCGTCAATAAATATTTTAACGTGGGTTGCGTGCCTTTAGACTCTCTGTCTTGTTCCTAACGTTTGGAAATTTTGACAATGTTGTGTTGAGACCAACAAGTCCTCCTCACTGGCATTATGGACTATTCTGGACGGTCTTAAAGTGGTAGAAAGTTCGATTTTACCTTCTCTAAGTGAAGAGAAGTTCGGTTCCTTTCGGCATGCTTTGGACGCCTTCAGGACTTCAAATTCGACGCAGTACCTGTAACAAGAGAGCAATTATGGTTAAGCATGTTTGTCTTACAGCCGACTTAATCTATGCAACACATGACGGATCCTCAACGTTGACAAATGGCACATCATCTTATACGACTATAATAACCAGACTATCCTAATCAAACATTTGAAGGCCCAAGTTAGAAGAAATCAAGCCTTGTCGACAGTCCCGGTCTATTTATTCCACAATATCTGGAAATCATGCTCAGATCAATCCATCAACCAACCTAAGACGACAAATGTCTCACTTAACGTGGAATAAAATACATTGTTCGGCTTAAATCTTTTAAAAACAACCAATTACATATCCCACTTACTCATATATTTAAGTTGTTTGAGATGAAGGTGCTAAGAGAATATCTGGACCTTCAGAGAAGTTTCAAGATGCTGGAGAAAATTAAGTAATGAGGTATTTCATAACTTGTAATGTTCACAAAATATTATTAGGGTCAAGTCTAGGAGGATGCGATGGATACGGCATGTAGCATGCGTGAGGGATATAGAAAAGCACATACGACTTCGCTTGAAAACATGAAAGTACTGGGCCACGTCTCAGACGCGCTCATAAGCTGTGGCACTCGACTCATCCCGCTGTCGATTAGGGCCAGTATCGGGCTCTTGTAAATACAGTAATGAACCTTCTGTTTTCATGCAACGGAGAGTGTCAGCGACTTTCTTCTTGTCAATCTGCACTTGTTGCATGTCGCCTCTGACTGAAAAGTTACACGTGTGTTGGTTTGGTTGCCCAGAGCAACTGCCATGGACCGGGCTCTATATTTTCCTCTCGTGTATCCCATATAAAAATATTTAAATCGATTTACGATGGATGGCTTACCCCGTCCTCCTCCTCCACCGTAAATCGGTTTATGACAACCTCAATTTATAATCCAACATGTCAACTGCAGTATAGCCAGAAAGCTGTATGGCTTTCATCCCTGATGGCCCTATGCTACATGATGCATGCAGTACAAGGGCGTGAGTCGTCAGGGGTGGAGTGCACGATAGAATTTATAGGGTAGTAAATTTTCGTATTCTGGTTACACTGCAACACGTCAATGCGTGTGCATGTCAATAGAGAGGTAGACTCTGTAGTGTGCCACGGCCCCAAACGGAACACACCCCCGCCCTTTCATACAACATACAAATCACCCTTCAGAATGTTTTATCTTTATTTTTATAGGGCCTCTTAAAATTCTGATGAAAAACTTCACAGAATACGTACACATTTTATTTCGAGAGAATAAAATACGAGATGAGCTCTCGACATTTTAGCGCATAATATCCGTTTCACATATATGGATCTTTACAAATACAATATTTTAGACGAAGTAAATTATAAAGTGTACAAAACGTAATTATTTGTGACACGTACGTTATGAGATTTAAAAAGTACCATTAAATGAACCAATAATTAATCAAAACAAATTTCTACTCTCTACGTGCGAGGAATCTACAGAATGTTCCATTTTAAACGCAACCCCGACAATTACACACGAAACCCCTTTCAAGCACAAACCGATGAAACCAACAAAAATATGAATTTGTTGTATCGTATTCTGTTTTTGTAGACGATGCACTTCTTGAAATCGGTACGACCTTAATTTCAGCCATGTAATTACAGGCAAACACTTTCCGGTGCCAGTCTGCTAAAATCTTCCCGACCGGAGCAATGTTCGAGAATGATCCAGGTTCTTCTCGTGAATATACTATGTTTGCACGTGGACATCTTTTGGGCAACTGGAATGAGCAGCGGCCTAGCAACCAGAAACCAGTGACCTTGATTCTGACGTCACGGGGAAAGTTGGCAAGGTGTTTTACACTTGCGTGGACCTGATTCTGGTTTCGCTTTCGGGCCCCTCCAGGTCTGTCTGTCTGTCGTGGTTTCAGCGGCACTGGGACCTCGGGACCACATGAGCGCAACAGCGGTCTATTTGACATGGTCTCATGAACACCGCTGCAACTTTCCAATTCTTTTATTAATTCGTCCCGGGGCCTATCTACGAGAAGTAAACCTCTCGAATATTCTACCGATGTGCGTCACTGTCGTCGGATTGAGTTTTAAACTGTATAAAGAATTCATTAAAACGCGAAGCAAGTGAAGGAACAAGCTCTCATCTTACTCCCCCCCTCTACCCTAAGAACAGACTTGACCCGAAAATATCGCCTTTCGAGCTGTGGTCTGTCATTCCAGAAAAAAAATACATTACAGTCTCCTTGGACCCCATCTTTTGTTCGTCTTCTCTCTCCCTCTTGACACGTGCACGAAGTCAACTGATAACCCTGCAAGAATCATTGACACACGTTATCTCTCTGACAATGACCTCGGGCTCATAATATCAAAATATGTGTTTGAACACAAACGACACGTACTAAAGGCCTTTGAAAGTTGATAGACCGTCACTCAGTCGAGAAACTCCACGTTCTTTTTGGAACCCGCGTTCACAGGCGTCCTATACCAATCCAGTCCGCCCGCATTCTGTCTGGGATCCTCTTTTCAAAATATACTCCTCCTCGGTTTCCCAGCACAGACATTCTCGTCAGGTTTTCCGACTAAAAGGACGTAGGCCGACGCAGCTGTCATGCGTGCTACATGTCCACCCCAAATTACCTTCCTTGTCTTCATCACTTCACGAATATTTTGTCAAGAGTACAAATTGAGTAGATTCTCATCATGACATTTTTCCCCCACCGTCATATTCAGTTGTCTCATGAGAAGGGCTCCTGAGGAAACGGTAATGAACCTACATGTTCTATAGAAGCTGGGGTAAAATTATTCACCACCTGTGCTTGAAGCAGCTCCTCATGGAGGTATCTGCCCCATGGAATTACACATATCGGATGAGGCTTCGTCTTTGTCAAATTTTATTTTGCAAAGAGAAATTAACAAATCAAAAGCTGTAAGAAACCACGATGAATTTCATTTAAAATAGGCAGTCTATCAGCCGAGATTTGAACCTTGTAACCTCCAGAGCACTTAGAAGGAATACCAACCACTACACGGTAACGTTTGTTAACTCCATATCGTAAAAATGTTGGTCGGACGAAACTTACGAAAGTTGACAGTAAAAATTAAAAGTGACAGTGGAACAACGGTTCCGGAGAATTTGACGTAAATACGTCTATACGGAAAGGAAGTTTATATATTGGCTTTATTCTAAATATTTCCTTTATACATGCTTTACGATTGAGATAAGTTTGATTAAGACATTGCTTATTTAATTTGAATTGGTAACGCTTAAGATGGGTCTGTGGTAGATGAATGTAATGTAAACCGTTGAGTCAAACCCTACAAAGTACTATTTTGACCAAAAAAAAAAAGCTTCAAGCTTTGTTCGTGTATTACAACATAAAGACTGTCGAAAGCGCTCAAAATTTCCAGGCGTTTTACGAATTCAGTCCAACCTCTTGCTGTTCCGCTACGTTAACTACAAATCCAAAGATTAAAGTAAGGTGAACTTGTAGGCCGTCGCCCTCGGCGGACTACTGGTTAGCGTGTTCAAACCCGGCCGAGGTCGATGGATTTTTGAGGGTGATCCTCGGAGGGGAAGTAAAGACGACGGTGCCGTGTCGTAGATTTACGGCGTGTAAAAGAACCTCCTGAGCATAAACGAGATGTTTCGTAAGCAAAATTCAGCGGTCATTTCTCACCCAAGTCTCTCCTGATTCACTACTAGATGGCTCTAGCAGACAAATCAGGATTAAGAAGAAATTGTGCAGAGACAGTGGGCTGGTCGCTCACTACTCACAGATGCACACTTCAAAGACTAAGAAACCTCTGATAGGAGGTGGCCAAGACCCATGTTTAATTACACAGGGACGAGACTGTGTCGGTCTATGTTTTTTATATGTTATTATTATCAACTGAACGTTAATTATTTAAGGATTAAAACTTTATATCGTTTTACTACAAGAATTTTTATGCAGATTCAAGCCGCCTTGGCGATCGAGCGTATTAACAAACACAGTTGGTGTAGAAATCCATACCGAGTCGTGGACTGTATCTTGAAATAGATTCAGACGATCGGCGCAGTTTGAAAGTGACTGTACCGTGCGACAGGGCGACTGTTCCTGACTGCAGCCAGGAGCACATTAAGCAAAAGCACGCCCTCTGCCTTCCTCCACTAAAGTAAAGTGTGACAGAACAGAGCGAGAAGACAAACAAAAGGCAAACAGAAACACTCTTTACCCAAGCTTCTTCATCCGCGCTGTAATTCTTTAACACCGCTGTAACAAACGTCTTCGTACACGGAGTCACCAAACGGTGGAAAAATTGTAATACTTTGAGATTAATAAAACGTTTACAAACTTCCCGTCTTTTATAGAACTCAAATGTTCATTACAGCGTTCACAAAATCCCGCCGCCAGTATCTTGAGGCCTACAAATCCATAAACATCCTCCCTCCAACGCCTAAGTCTCATCTCACCCGTGCGTGTTACAGTCCCGACCAATCTCACCCTCTTTGATAATCAGTAGAATCGGTGGGGATAACTCAGGTTTGTACTTGACTACGGACTGGAAAACCGAGATTCGATTCCCGGCACGGGCAAAGGGTTTTTCCTCAATAGACTGCCTCTAGACCGACTCTAGAGCACACCTAGCCTATTATCCAATAGTACCACAACAAGCAGCGCTAATATTGTAACCGTTCACACTGAATTCACCAATTCGATTACAGTCCACGTGCAATTATTAGTCATGGGTTTGATTGAGGGAATTGTAAAAGGTAGAGAACGGATTAGCTCAGGAAGTCAGCCAGAAAAGACTATTTTCTATCTTCAAGGTTGAGTTAAGGGCATGAGTGACACAGATGGCGATGTCATTGACAAGTAGCGTGTAATATAATTTAAAACCAATTTTGGTAAAAGAAGTTAACATTGAAACTGAAATAGAATACGAGAAAACACTTAAGTTGCCCCTAATTTCCTTACAAGCGGATGTCCAGTTCCTGCAGAACAGGGCTAGACCCCCCCCCCCAAAAAAAAGAC